CGCGAGCAGACGGGAATACAGCTGGACATCGTCCCAACTCCCGATCCACAAGTCGTAGTATTCGGCAAGATACTTGCTGTTGTAGCAGGTACTTTGGCGCGGATGGGCCGACTGGTTATCGGTGGGGTTATCGTTGGGGACGGTCATGGTGGGTTTGATGGAATGGATTTACAGAAGTCAACAATTATCCCGGTGGTAGCCATGTATTTAACTTTGTCTGGCATTTAGGGGAAACAGCAGAGACAAAGTCTTCCTGTGTCTTGCTGCGTAGAAGACCAGGGTTCAGGAGGTCACGAATCTTTGCAAGTACACCGTGAGGGGGGAATTTCCAGACGAAAGCTCTTCTGCACCACTTCCAGGCAAAGGAATAAGTTTAGGACTCGTTGCAGACGCAGGACTGATGTAAATGTACTCTTAAACCTTGAGTGAGAACTATTCATGCATTAGTGGTTGTGCTGGCTGAGGTACACTAGTCGCGCAGTGGGAAGCATTGAATGCAGGAGGATGTATGATTTCGAATTGAAAGATTGTAAAGCCGCTATGGACATTTCCTCGCCTAATCCATCCCCGTAAACTCTGTCTTGCATCGTTCCAGACACCGCTACCGCTATTTCTAAAGACACTCAGAAAAAGACCTAACTGGGCGCTCCCAATTTCCCTCCTGCGTCAGCCACGTCGTAATCTTCTGTAGTCCCTGGGCAATGTTACGAATCCAGTCGGGCGAGTTATTCGCCACCGCGCCAGTGAGGGAGATACAGAGATCAGTACCATCCTTGCCGGACGCACCAGCATCGACCATCAAGCCACAGGTAGGCTGGAAGAAAATCTCCTGTCGCTGAATATGCTCGTGCAGGCGTCTTTTTTCATCTGCTTTGAAGGTCGTCGTCCCGGTCCAGTTGAAGATCAAGTGATCAGCTACTGCAGGGTATAGCTCTTTCATACGAGGCAATTCCTCAAGAATGCGCCTCCACGGTGCGTTCGCGTACCGCGTTATTAGAGCCTGTTGGGCTTGCGCGCGATACAGCAATTGCAGTACTGTCTCGTTTGGATCGTATGTGATACGCTCCACATTGCCTGTCAGTGTAGGTCCGGCAACGCGGGCCCCGTCCAGCGGGCCTTCACGCGGAAAAGAGGAGGGCAGGAAGGGGAATCGCCCCCGTGCTGCTTCAACATTGAGGAGTAACATCTCCGAGTGCTTGGTGTGGAAGATTGTCAGCAGGGCTAGTGCTGTCTTGAGGACCACTGATGTCATCAGAGTCGGATGGTGCTGGTGCAGAGACATCAACGCCGGTAGCTGGAACTCGAGCAGGTACAACCCTTCCGATTGTTGTCCAGATGAGGTCCTCAGTGGGCGACTAGGTGTGGGCCATAGCGCTACTGGTCCATCAGGCACTTGCTGCATCTGCGAGAGGTGGTACTCAAAAGCCGGTCGGCTAGCCAGAGCATCCTGCAGCAGGTAATAGCTCTCATTCCACGCTTTATATGAAGCATGCGCTCGAAGTGGCTGCCCGCTCAGCGCGAGCTCTAGGTCATCCTCAAAGATTTCATGGTATGTCGCATCCATGACAGAATGGCAGACTGCAAATAGACACAAATAAGCACACATTCCACGGAGGAATTTGGCAAGCGGGGAAAGCACTTACAATCTGCAACGAGGACGGCACTCTTTATCTCCTTTACGTACACCATCAATCCGCAGAACAAAGGTCCTGGTAAGGAGAACCGAAGCTCTTGTGGAAAATTGACCACTAAGTCGTGCACATCGGCCAATGTCGCAACCTCGCCGTAGTCGACAATGCAGCGCTCCAGAATTAATTGTGACGGGCGGACGGTCACCAGCAGAGTCTGGGATGTCTCACCTTGCACAACAAAGGATCGCAGCATGGGATGAAGTGGTAACGTAACCTCCAGGGCCTTGCGCAGCTCTGAAACAGAATGGCCCCGTGTGTGTATGCAGACGAAGAATTCCCAGTAGTCAATTAAGTGAGCCTGGCGCATGATGTGTTGGAAATCAGTGGCCGGGAAGACATCTTCAACATCATCCCAAGTGAGCCGATAGCGTGCAATGGCTTGTTGGACCAAAGCCTGCGTAGCCGGGAGTCTGCCGGCGTCGCCCATCAGGTGCACCATATCCTCCAATGCAGGACCCCCAACCCGAGCGTGCACGTCATTGTGAGAAGTAGGATAGGCGTCTTCCGGTTGGCCATTAGCAGTCTCCAGAAGAAGGATTTGGTCTGCAATGGTTTTGGCGCTTGCCCAAGCCGCGAAGGGGACATGTCTGCCGGTGAGCTTGCTCGCTCTGGAATGCACGCGCATCAAGGTGATACTATCAACACGTTCCGAAAGCGCGGCCTGCACATCAAGTTCTTCGGTCGTGGCCGCCAAGACATCTGCCCAGAGCTGCACCACACGCTTGCGTAACTCTCCGGGGTTGATAGGTGCCGATGGCACAGGGGCATCGGACCGGGCGGCAGCATACTCACGCACCAAGGCCGCGAGTTTCACCTTTTGCACTTTGCCTGAAGTCGTGCGGGGATAGTTCGCAGCCCCGAGCGCTTGGATGGGGATGACTTTATCAGGAACATACGCCGCACCCATCTCTGTTAGAATCAGATGCATGATGTGTTGCACCTGCGGCTTTTCAATCTCGCGATTTACGACAATGGCCGGGACCTCCCCTGCCACAGAGTCTGGCAGAGGCACGGCCTGAGGATTGAGCTGGTGCAATTCCGGGTCTTGGTTGAGTACCGCCTCGATGGCAGAGGGCGATATGTTCTTGCCACCCCGGATGATGAGGTCTTTGTACCGACCAACAGGGTAGACGAGACCGTTCGGTTCGTACATTATAGCCTGATCGCCAGTCTTGTACCAGTAACATCCAATCGCATCAATGTAGAATGAATCGCTCTGCACGCCGATATAACCTCGAGCAGTTTGGTAGCCACTGTAGTGCACCTCTCCCGCCACACCAGGCGGCAGAGGCTCCGTGCTGTTCGGAGCACAAAGACGCAGTGTCGAGCCTGTCATAGGACGCCCGGCGGCCAGGAAGCCGTCTCGCGAGATACTGTCGAGGTCTTCCACTGGGCCGGTCGCGCAAAACGCCCCCTCCGTCATACCGTATAGATTCTCGATCGCTCGCGTGCCCACTCTGGACTGAAATTCCTTAGCTACAGCAGTGGACAGTGTCATTCCGGAGAATATGACTGTGTCAATCGGAGGAAGTGGGGTCGAGCTGAGGTCCGCACTGATGAAGGCATGCACCAGCGCTGATACCATGACTATGTATTTGCAGGGGACATTGCGAAGTGTATCGATCGTCGTACGTGGATCAAAGGCCAAATAAGATGGGTAGACGAGTGTAGCCCCATGTGTCAGGGCAAACATCTGCCCCATATAGCCAAGCACATGGCTACATGGAACGAGAGACATCAGTCGGTCTCCTGGGCGTACTAAGCCGAAAGTTGACCCACTCGCTAGAGAGCTGATCCAGGCAGGAACATCCATCTTGCATGGTTTGGGCAGCGATGTCGTTCCGCTAGAGAAAAAGATGGATGTTTCGCGTGACGGGGGTAATGTTGATGGGCCCGATGAGGTTTTTCTAGATTGCATGAGCTGGTCGAAACTTGTCCATGGAGAAGAAACCGGTTGGCCATGTCCGATGACAATCTTGATCACATCTAGCTGGGGAAATAGCTGATCAAACTGTTCGGCCGCGGCTTTATCTTGAACAAAGACGGCGGCCTTTGGGCTGGGGCGGTTATCGAGAACGGTTTGGACGACATGGCGGGCTTCCACCGAGTTGGACAACGTATTGGGATGAACGGAGACATGAATGCAGCTAAGTCTGTATCCAGCCCAGGTAGTGAGGACATGCTCCAAACTGTTACCGAGGATCACAAAAAGCAGACAGTCACTCGATAGACCCAGCAACTCCAACGAGGCAGAAAGGCGGATGATCCCTTCATACAACTCCCCATAACTCCATTGACCATATTCTTTCTTGTCTCCAAGCCCATAGAGACCAGCTCGTTGGTGCGCGCAGATTAGTGCCAAATAGTCAGGGTGTCTTTCCACTGCCTCGGCCAGTCGTTCCCAAGCTGAGCGGCATTGATGCTCAGGGTCGCTTGTTACGACTTCGCGCATGGTATATGTGTAATTTGAAGTTTATATCTAGAATCCTGAGTTTCGACGATTTATTCCAACAATACCAGTACTTATTACACAACTATATTATTACATTCAAGGCATATAGCTATCTGTACGGGAATTATTCCCGCACAGGTGTTTGTGACATAGTGTGACCCTGCATCACCTTACCGGAATGATCCCCCCTTGCCTGGGTATAGACCAAGGCAGAGCAGCAGTTGCATGAAGGTCTGGACTTGCGCAACATAGTCAGGAGGATTGAGCCAGCATATGCACTTCTCCGCCCTTGCTTGCATGTCTGACCGCTCCTTGCCATCAACAAAATGGCACATTCTTCTTGACTTAATGCAACTGCTTATTGAGTGGAGCAGCTCTGCAGATAATGTACCTTGTCCTGTAGTGGAACTCCTTGAATCTGCAGAAACCTTAATGAATAGACAATTCCTGGTGAAACTCAGCAGTGTCTATACAGGCATATCCTTACGGCCTATCCTATGCTGTACATATGCTCTGTACACCTCTTCTTAATTACTTAATATTATGGACTTGGAATCATATACCTACTTGTATACAATACGTCATACAGGGATAAATTCTAAAAGTTAGTATTAGACCTAGCTATTGGTTCAATATTTAGACTCCGGATAAATTAACCTTTCCTGGCTGAATCTTTATTGGGCATCTTCAGGTAGACTAAGTGTCTATGAAATGATTGGAACCTAGTCCCTAGATTGTCAAGGAGGGTATTCTTTATCTCTTCTTGGACAAACAGGGCCTTCCTGTTGACGTTTACTTATTACAATTGCCAACCCCAGGCGACCGCCGTACGCCCCGAAGGCCATAAAAACGGGCACCAGTCTTCTTACAGTCAAGTTTCTGCACTTCAGATACTTCATCTCAGAAACCAATAACCGCCGACCTGTACCTACTTTCCTTCTACTCCCATGACCCACAAATTCATCAAACGTGGTACATCATGGTCGTCAAGGGCTCTTGTAACTGTGGCCGTATCCGCATCACCATGGACAACCCCACACCATCTGGGGGTGGTGTGATGATTTGCTACTGCCTAAATTGTCGCAAGCAGAGTGGCGCCGGTATTCATCGCACTTGTCCTTCTTCTCGTTTACTTCCAGACCCAAGAGTTGTCTAACCTAAACGTCCTCCAGCCGGCACCTATGTCGTCGTGGTGGAGAACAAAGACATGGTCTTGACCGGTAGTCCCAAGAAATTTCTCGACACCAATACCGCATGTGGCCGGCCACTGGATCGATATTTCTGTTATAACTGTGGATGGTCAGTACATGCAATAGGATACTCTGCCTCCTATCTGGCTAACCTCTGTGCAGTCCGATTATGTACAGAAGTGAGACTGTTTTGCCCGGAAAATCACGTCAGTCCTCCCTCTATCTTTCCTTTTTCCCTGTAATAGTTCCGGCGGTAAGATTGACAATAGCAGTCCTCATGTTCGGTCTCTTTGATGATATTCCCAAGCCGGTGGCAGAGGTGTGGACCAAGCGTCGGCCGGAGTGGATACCAGCGACTTCAGAAGTTCTACAATATGTGACGGATATTCCCGACGATGTGAGCGGAGAGGAGGCCAAGAAACTAGGCTGGTGAGTTGATGGATGTTGTAGAAGGGATGTCGACCGAGCAGCACCATAGCCCGGATCAAGTGGTTGAATGTCAAAGAAACAACAGATTTAAGTCAAGATGTAGTTAATGTAAATAGAAGTCAGCTACTTCTATTATCCATTCTAGAGATAACATTTGGATCGGAAGTTAACTGCAAGTTGCATGTCGAAACAACCACAGTAGAAAGTGGATTCAGCACAGCCAGTCTAGAAGGCGGTGAGAAAGTTTACAGAATGCTGACTCATTTTTTCGGGGATGTACAAACTTAAATCCGCTCATATCCGCTTATATCCGCAATTTTCTCAACGAGGTCGACTAGGTTCTGCCGCTTTGGGCGGTAGGAGAAGCGGTAAGGGGCTGGGTTTTCTGCCACCGGGTGGTAAGAAAGAGTCTCTTGTGTGACTCTACCTTAGTGTGGGATATGGTTCCTAATGTACTTTGAATATTCGTAGTCTAAACGGGGTTAGTATCATTAATAGCCGGGGGACAAGCTTACAGTATCGTTAGATATAGTTCTTTTTGGTTTCCGTCTTAAGGTGGCCCGTACTAGACTCGTATGAAGCCGCCCATTATAGTACTAAGTACTTAATATATATGTTATTCGTGCCTTCGGAATGGGTGGGACCGGCACCCAGAGGGATCATTGACACCAGAGATAAGAAGTTCGACATCTTGGGCGTGATTCAACGAGTGGGTTTGTCGTACACTCTCATCGACCTTGATGTTGGTTTCAGGTCCGGGTACCCAAGATTCCGTCCGGTCGGTCGGACCACGCCCATTGAATTATATTGACCATCGGATCGTCGGGGATGGAAATGAAAGATTTGGGTTGACAGACATGGGGGATATTGGGAGGTATGTCGCGCAGATTACATTGGATGAGCGTAGTTTGAAAAGACGTGTATTTGCGTATACCGACGTCCTGAGTATGAACGAGAGTTGGGACACAATGGCAAGGGTCAGCGAGGAGACACCCCTGAAAGAGTTTCTAAGTAGATGAGCTTGATCTCGGATCGCCTGATCAGATTGCTCCTGTGGGCGACGCGTTAACCTGAACAAACAGGGGTCAGAATCAGAGATCAAACAGAGAATCAAACGATGTGGGGAGAGGTGGCAGGAGTATGGGCAGAAAGTCGATATCATGGACGTTGTCAATTACAATATGGGCCAGTACCGCATATCATGGGTACTATCTAGGATACTTGGATTTTCGAAAGCTGTTCCCAGACTTTCCAAAGGGCAGGTCGTTGAAGGCATACTACCAGCAGGGCCTCACTGAGGGCTCCAAATGAGTGACCTGCCCGTTCTAGTTATCTGAAGAGATCGAAGGTTTCACATGCCCTTGCATGTTTTCGACACACTTCAAGGAGGCTAAATAAAAAAAAAAAAAAAAAAAAAAAAAATAGACGATAATCATGAGAAATGATATAGATAGGTACCAGTAAGCTCGATAAGTCTCCGAGCTCCATTCAGAGAAGTGACTGCGCTGATTGGGTACTGCCGGACTACACTTCCCGATTAGGAAGGGCAGCGGAGTAAGTTACCCCGAAGAGTTCGTCCATGCCCAAAAAGGGCGGAATGACCCGCCGTGCAGATCTTCTGCTTTCGGCCGGGAAAAGTGGGAATGGCTTCCTCTCAGTGGCCACTGCCAACTTGACCTGCTGTGGTCCCCTATCTAGCCTGTTCTGGATTATAAATCCACTCCACCTCACGAACGCGTCTATTCTGGAATTTTCCCACCTTATATTCGACTGGGCTCCGTGTTTCCGCCATACACGACTCCCAAGTGCTGTCAACACCAAAAACATGGCGTTTATATACCAATATCGGGGCTTGCGACGATACGTGAACGAGCTGGTTGATGACGCCCGTCGTGCCCAGCGCGAGTCATCTTCCACTGATCACGCATCGCCGCAGCCTCTTGAACATTCACCGAGTAAGATCAGAGATCCCTCTCAAATCCCTGGAATTTCCTTGAAATCGGATTGTAACGGTGAAAAGTACTATGAGGTGTCTTGGGCAACCCACGATCCCTTCAACCCGCAGCAATGGTCGCATGCCCGCCGAGTCGCCTCCACCATGTGTGTCTGTCTGATCGCCTTGGTCACCACCATGGCATCAGCCATCGATTCCGCCGTTCTAACCGAAGCTTCCCGGCACTTTGGAGTTTCCGAAGTCGCCGAATCACTCGCAACTGGTCTGTACCTGATTGGCTTCGGAGTCGGTGCGCTTATTGCCAGTCCTATGTCTGAAATCGTTGGCCGATTCCCCGTCTACATTGGCGCTTTGATTATCTTCGGGTCCTGGATTCTAGGTGCTGCGTTGGCCCCGAATTTTGGGTCACAGTTGGTCTTCCGCTTTCTCGCGGGACTCTGTGGTTCTGCGCCTCTAACTGTCGCGGGTGGTTCGATTTCCGACGTGTGGAGTACGCTGGAGAAAACCTTCGGGTTCCCCATCTTTGCTATCCCGGGGTTTGGCGGGCCTATCCTTGGTGAGTATGATATAACGTATCGCGCAACATTCACTGCACACCACCGGACGTAGTAGGTGTCGAGTGAAACTAACACTATCGAATCATATAGGACCCGTTGTCGGAGCATACATCGGTTATAGTCCCCACATTAGTTGGAGGTGGGCTGAATGGATCATGCTCATTTTTGACGGCCTCGTCATAGCCATCATCTTTCTGTTCAAGCGCGAGACCTTTGCACCCCAGCTCCTCTACTACAAAGCCAAGTTCTTCCGCGAAGCGACCGGAGATGCGCGGTTCAAGACAGCCGGCGAGGCCTCGGGATCGGGAAGCCTGCTGCCCGTGTTGAAGAGGAACTTTACTCGTCCTTGGCTACTCCTGATGGAGCCAATCGTGATCTTCTTCACGTTTTACTTGACCATTGTCTACATTGTCCTGTTCACGTTCCTGGACGGGTATGCACCTTTCCACTAGTTTGTATTGCGATCCATGGGATCCCACTAACCCGCCTAGATATGTCTACATCTTTGCCGATACTTACGGCATCAATGAGGGTCTGGCCAACATTTGCTTTCTTGGGCTTTTCATTGGAATCCTCACCAGCATGGTGCTTGTTCCCATCCTTTATCGCAAAACAGCCAAACAATTGCGGGATGCTGGTGATGACGGCTCCGGTCGCATGATAGACAGAGAGTCGCGTCTCTTCTTCGCGCGAATCGGAGCGCCAGCCATTCCGATCGGTCTTTTTTGGATGGGATGGACTGATTATGTAAGGCCACTTTCCGCCTTTATGGGCTTGTTTACTACAGGATGCTAATAATTCTAGCCCTCCATCGCGATTTGGTCCCCACTAGCCGCCTCGATCGCCGTCGGTTTCGGAGTCATCTGTATCTTCCTCTCAGCCTACATGTACATTATCGACTCCTATCAGCAGTACGCGGCGTCTGCACTGACTTTCGTGGCACTGGTTCGGTACCTGGCTGCGGGCGGAATGACGGTGGTCGGAATCCCGATGTATTCGAATCTTGGCACTCATTGGACGCTCACTGTTCTTGGGATCATCAGTGCGGTGGCTGCGCCCATTCCCTACGTACTGACCTTCTGGGGTCCCTCTCTGCGGAAGAGGAGTAAGTGGGCCACAGCTATCTCAGCCTGAGTGGATTCGACTTGGCTTCGCGGACTTCATCTCTTGCTGTGCAAGCATGGATAGTATGCCTTGAATATGGGATTTGACCCTTTTCGTGAACATACGTATGGCTTTGGTGTTATAAATACGATGGAGATGAGCAAGAGCGGTGTGGAGATATTGGGTTGGGCATGATAGAAGATATATAGAGTAGATAGATGGTATAGAATGAATTGGATGGAAAACGCGATGTATCCAAGAACCCGACCGTAACCCGATATTAGCTGCCTAAGGCATGAAGTAGAAAAGACAACACGTCAATTTCCCGCTGCGCAATGAGGTCTACATGAAGACATGCCAGAATCCAGAATTGTCACCACATGCTCCACAGAAGCAGTTAAGCAGCTACAATTGTGTTTGAGAACACTTCGGCCTCGGTGCACCCACGGTGATAAAGATCGGGTGCGGGGACGGGGTCGGCAAATTAGCTCGGGGACGGTCCACCGATCTACCGAGCTTCCTCGTATATAAGACTGTGATGACGCGCATCATCAGACCTGAAGAACTACCAAGCTTATTAGCTAATTTTTGGTTTACCACTGTGTTTATAGAAGGTCTACAAAATGAGCGTCTTAGATCTTATCAAGTCCATCAACGCTGTCACCGCCAGTGGCGAACTGAATAGTATAGATGAGCAGCAACGTGCAGAGCTGTCATCTGCATGCGACAAACTGAAGACGCTGTGTGAATCGCCGCTTGAAAAGACGTTCAAGCTTCTGTTTACGGTATGCTTTCCTGAATTCCTCTACAACTATGGATACTAATAAGATACTAGGAACACCAAACCATGGTCCTCCGTCTAGCCATCGACCTCAAGCTCTTCGACGCAGTCATCTACCACTCATCTCAGAATGAGACCGGCAAAGTCACTGTAGCCCAGATAGCCAGTCACACAAAAGCAGACCCAGTTCTCGTCGGTATGATCATGAACTCCCTTCAACCACATCGATCTTTTAACAGAACATCCAGCCCGAATCATGCGCTTCCTCTCCGCCATAGGGACCCTCGAACAACACACATCCGACACCTTCACACCTACTCCTCTCTCCCCATCCTACATATCAACCTCTCCACTCGCAGCAGCCATAATCCACTTGTACTTTCTCCCCTCCCCCCACCCCCCAACAATCCTGATACCAATTAACACCCCCAGCACGCACTTCCACTCCTTCCTCACCCAGCTCCCGGACTACTTCGCCAAAAACAACTGGACCAACCCCAACTCCCTGACCAACACGCCCTTCCAATTTGCTGCCAACACCTCCGCCCACTACTTCGACTACCTGGCCACAAAACCCTACTACCAGTCCTCCTTCAACAAAGTGATGAAATCTCCCATCCGTCGGGCCGGACAACCATGGTTCAATCTGTTCCCCGTCACCGAGAAACTCCAGATGAAATCCCCAGACCCCGATTCAGTGTTGTTGGTAGATATCGGCGGCGGCCAAGGCCAAGATCTTCTCGCGTTTCACTCCGAGTTCCCTGATCTATCTGGTCGACTTATTCTTCAGGATCTGCCGCATGTTGTCGCTGATGCGGAGATACCTGATGGTGTAATAGAGAGCCAGGGGTATGATTTCTTCACCGAGCAGCCTGTCAAGGGAGCGAGGTGGTATATGCTCCGTACCGTGCTCCACGATTGGCCTGATAACGAGGTAGTTAAGATTCTGAGTAGAGTGCGGGAGGCTATGAATGATGAGTCGGTGTTGTTGATCGTGGAGAAGGTCATTCCGGAGACAGGTGGCGGGTTGATGGCTGCTATCGGGGATCTAAGTATGATGGTGAGTTTCGCTGGCGCGGAGAGGACGGAGAGGCAATATGCGGAGTTACTTGGGAGAGCGGGGTTGAGACTGGTGAAGTGCTGGGTAGGGAGTGAAAATGAGGGGATGGAGATGGGGGTGGTGGAGGCGAGAATATAGTCATCCACTACTATCTAGTATATACAATGTGTCTGCACAAACTTTGCAATGCATCTTATTTATCTTAGGGCATGTTTTAATATATTCTATACGCTTCGCTTATGCAAATATCACATGATCAACCGTAACCAACACCCTAAAAACGTTGAATTACTGCCCATCAATCATCTTCGACGCCCTCCTCAACGCCGGTCCATACTTGACAAACAAAAACGGCACGGGCAACAACACCGCCGCCACAGCGCCGATAATCGAGATCGCCGGCCCAATCCCAAGAGCCTTGATCATCGGCTTCGCCGCTAACGGCAACCCCGCCGCCATGATACTTCTCAGGAAGGTAACAGCGGCAGTTGAACTGGCCGCATATACGCGATACACGTCGATGAGGAAATTCAAACATTGCTGGAAAATACAATTAAACCCTGCTCCGATACAGAATGCTGCCAGGCATGGCAAAATCCAGTGATAGGCTGGTGTTGCTGTCCAGGCGAACCAGAACAGGCCGAGCACAAGAACAACACCGCCGAACATCATGGGCGGTAGGCGGGCCTCTGGGACGGGTGCACCGTTCGCGGCCGCAGAGATGCGGTTATAGCGGAACTGGTTGTATATGTTGACTCCGGTGGAGAGAATAACACCGATGAGGAGGGCGAGGAAGGGGAGAGCACCGACGACGGGAGACCAGCCGCGGAGTTCTTCGAATGCGATAGGGAAGACTTCGAGGGTGAGGTACATGACGGCGTAGACGAAGGCCGCGTAGAAAGCGATGCAAGTGACGATGGGTTCAGTGCAGAGC